TTCTTCTTCTTCTTCTTCTTCTTCTTCTTCTTCTTCTTCTTCTTCTTCTTCTTCTTCTTCTTCTTCTTCTTCTTCTTCTTCCTCTTCTTCTTCTTCTTCTTCTTCTTCTTCTTCTTCTTCTTCTTCTTCTTCTTCTTCTTCTTCTTCTTCTTCTCCTCCTCCTCCTCCTCCTCCTCCTCCTCCTCCTCCTCTTCTTCTTCTTCTTCTTCTTTGTTTTAGGGTGTTCCCACTGCTGTTTCCCACGCTCCAGTGGGTGGCCCCACCTTCATGCACATATGGACTACACTAATTTGACTTAGTGGGTTATCAAGCAAAAAAAGATCTGAAATTAGGAGGGGGTATGTGTTGGGGGGAGAGCAGAAATGGGAGGAGTTTATGCGATCATATTCCATTGGATACATGTGTGAAAGTCTCAAAGGATTTTTTTTTAAGTTTGAAAAAACACAACACAACCTAACACTGGGGGCTGGAGGGATGACTCAGAGATTGAGGGCCCTGGCTGCTCTTGCAGAAGACCTGAGTTCAGTTCTCAGCACCCATATCAGGTGACCTACAGCCACCTGTAACTACAGTGCCAGGCCGTCTGATACACTCTTGCAGCCTCCTTGGGCAACTGTACTCACATGCACGTATGCACACACGTGCGCCCGCACACACATGCACGAGTTAAAAATAAATCTTTTTTAAAGATCAGGTAGGACAGAAGCACAGAGGCACAGAAGACATAGTCTGTGAAATGACAGGCACAGAAGGCTGCGGTGCTTGGGCTGGAGAGATGGCTCAGAGGTTAAGAGCACTGACTGTTCTTCCAGAGGTCCTGAGTTCAATTCCCAGCAACCAAATGGTGGCTCACAACCATCTGTAATGAGATCTGGCGCCCTCTTCTGTATACATAATAAATAAATAAATCTTTAGGGCTGGAGAGATGGCTTAGTGGATTAAGAGCACTGGCTGTTCTTCCAGAGGTCCTGAGTTCAATTCCCAGCAACCACATGGGGGCTCACAGCCATCTGTAATGAGATCTGGTGCCCTCTTCTGGCCTGCAGGTGTATATGCAGACAGAACACTATACATAATAAATAAATAAATCTTAAAAAAAAAAAAAAGAAGAAGGCTGCGGTGCTTGATGTGGAGTAAGGAGCAGCTTATGAACTTCCTGGGCTTTGCTGAGGATTAGTTGGGTTTTGCTCTGTGAATAAGTAGCAACCTCCAGAGGTAAGGTTTTTAAAAAACCACTCTGGGCTGAGCATGGTACTGCATGCCCCATTAATCCCAGCACTCTGAAGGTGGGGCAGGTGGAGCTCTGTGAGCTCAAGGCTAGCCTGATCTACATAGGAAGCTGTGGGCTAGCCCATGCTTAGTGTTATCAAAGAGCTCAGGTGATGGCCTTGAACTAGATTCCAGTGTCGGAAGAGATGCTGGGAGGATCAAGAGGCTCTGGGGAGTACTCATTGTGGGAAAGTTGTACTGAAGAGTTCCTCGAGGTGAGGCTCCTAGTTGGGCATTTGTTAACTGAGGACACAGCAAATCGGGGGGCGTGAGTAGCAGGTGGTGGAGGCACTTTGGAAATATCCTGATACATACCCAACATCTGCATAATGATGTCTACTAATGGCTTACAAATTCACAAAATTGAAAGGCCTCCAGATAAACCTTTGCACAGAATGCATTCATTTCTCTCTGTACTCTCCTCAAATTCTAGTAAAACCAGAGGGAGGAAGGGAGGCAAAGAGGGAAGAATGAGGAAGAGGGAGAGGAGGGGAAAGAGGAAATTTTCACAGTGGTAAATCCACAAGACTACCAGGAAGCAGCGCAGAGCGCAGAGTGAATGGCGACAGTTGTCCCGTGCTGTGGAAACAGACGGAGCGGGAAAGCTGGAGGAGCCAAGACAGGCGGACCATGTCTGAGGAGAAGAGTAGCAGGGTGCACTCAGCAGCGAGGGGTGCTGCGGGGCGATGCAGAGGACAGCAGACTGTCCAGTTAAAACAACAAATGCGGAGGAAGAGGAGAACCAAGCCGCTGTTCGGGTGAGTGTCTGTCTCAGTTCCAGACTCATTTTGGCTTGCTTTGTGGTGATGCAGCTAGACCTTGTGAGAGCTGTGAAGCCTTGCTAGTGGGGTCTGGACAGACTTCTGGAAGGGGACCTTCTGGTTCTAGTCGGGCTTGTTCTCATCATCCTTAGAGAGCGTCCTTTGTGCTCAGTGTTTGACCCTCAGACCACCATAAGTAGGTTTCCACGGGGTACAGCTTTCCCTGTCTCCTGGCTGGATGATGTCTTCCTGGCTGCTGAGCTTCCTGTAAGCCAGAGGACTAGAGCGACATCGGTGTGGTTATTGGCAGTGCAGGGGATGGAACCTGGGACCTACTGCACTGAGCTGGATATATCTCCGGTCTGAGAGCAGCATCATGAAAGTACCAAAGGAAGACAATAACATTCTATACCCAGAAACGATACCCTTCAAAACCAAAATGAACACAGCTTCAATCTCCAAGTAACATTGTTTGAAAATTATATTTTTCCTCCAACCTAGGAGCCAATCAAGGATCCTGTATGTCACTGTGAGGTCCTTTTCGTTTGTTTAATTTAAAGCCATCTCCAGACTGTTGTAACAGTTTTCAGCAGTCAGGCCAGCTTTGTGGAAAGTCCTTCCACTTGGGCCTCTACAGGTAGATCACGGTAAACAGAACAGAGGTCAGTGCTCTGTCTTCAGGCATGCACATACGCACTTGTCCCGTGGCTGCGAGGTTAGATTCAGTCACTGGATTTTCTTTTGTTTTTCCTGAGACAGGATCTCATGCAGCAGAAACTGGTCTGGAACTCAACCATGTACCAAAGACTGCCTTGAACTCCTGATCCTCCTGCCTCCGCCAAGTGCTGGGATTACCAGTGCACAACATTTCCTGGCTAAGTTTAATCACCTTTGTTTTGGCAACATTTGCCATGTGACTTGCTAAGATGCCCTTTTCTTATGTAACCAGAGCAACACCCCTCACTGTCAGCCTCCATGATAATTCATCTGAGTACTCAGGTTTGTATTTTTGGTCTTGTCACTATGTAGTTTAAACTGGCCTCGAATCATGATCCTCTTTTCTCAGCCTCTCAAGTACTAGAATTACAAGTGTGTGCCACCATGTCTAGCTTCTGGACACTCATTTTTATTTTGTTTTGTTTTTTCCAAGACAGGGCCTTGTTATATGGGTCTGGATATCCTGGAACTTGCTCTGTAGACCAGGCTGGTCTTGAACTCACAGAGATCCATCTGCCTCTTCCTCCCGAGGGCTGGAATTAAAAGCGTGTGCCACCATTCTCAACCCACTTTATGGTCTTTATAAGCACTTATCTTAGTGGCTTACTTGAGATCTGTGAAGTTCATTTAGGTTTTCCTGTTTGAATCAGACAATGGAGGGCATTTGCCACATGGAAGCACAGCTTGTCTGTCTCCCAGGGGAAGCCATGGCCACCGCAGAGGTTTTGGATGCCTAAATACAGGATAATGGCATCAGGGTATCAACACTTAATTTGCAATGGATAGCCAGTGTGCTGGACTCCAAATACAGCAGGCCATTCTAGGTGTCTGAGAGATCTTACAAAAGAACGCAGAATCTCAGAATTAACCTTTCATTTGTCTTCACAAATTTCTCATATTTTCTCCATATGTATCTAAGGGTCACACCCCAAAACTTTTTTCTTCTCTTGAGAAGAGAAAAAATGGGCCCACTGTCACCTTTGCCAAGCTAATGTCCTTAATGGGCTTGAAGACTGCAGCTGGATTTAAGACTAATGCTGTTAACCATGTGAGTGCACAGGGCAGAAACACAGTTGGTTTTGTTGTTGTTGTTGTTTTGGTTTTAAGTTGGGACTCTGAAGACCCCAGGGTATGAATAACCCAGGACCAGCTTCCTACTTTGTGGAGCTTTGAGATTTTGTCTCTTGAGTGCCCCTTGGTGGCGGCTCCTTCCCTCCTCTATGCTGTCAAGAGTATCCATCTTCCCCCTGACTGACCCTGGGGAGGAAAGATGGCTGTGACCTCTGCTGGAAGTGCCCTTCCTTCCTCTGTTCAGGAGACCAGCTTGAGAGCTGGTTCAGCGGCATTCAGGTTCCAGGAAATTATGCAGAAATAGAGGTCACGCTGATCAAAAGCTTCCAGTTGAGTCTGCATGGTTCACCAGGATCTTACTTCCCTTACATTTCCACAGTGCATGTGGGAGCATTTGTCTTGATAGCCTCTGAGATCATCCTGGCACCAGATTCCCCAATGGGATTCCCCTGGAGACTGGAACAGAAGAGTTAGGGCAGAACTCAGCACCTGCAAGTTGTCCTTAGTACAGTGATTGTTGCTATGGTAAATTCAGGACGCCAGTGTGCCTTTGCCCTCCGAAGCCCTCCCACGCACACCGCTCTGGCTTGTTCCTTATTAGACCTGGTCTCCCCGTGGAGCTGCTAGAGTGGCTTCCTATCGCCTGACTCCAGAACTGGGCTAAAGGCAGAACCTGATCTGGGAGCAGTTCTGAGGCTTAGCAGAAGGAGCTGGAAAGGCGGATGCCACTGATGTACTCACTTAATATGATGCAGACCATGGTTCTCAGACAGTGCAGCGGCAACATATATGGCCGCGTCCATCCCCAGTGAGTTCTCCTGGAGACTAGGCAGAGGAGAGACGGACACCGCGGTGAGCTTCAGGACAGAAGAGACGTAAGGAGGCAACACTGCCTTGTTGAGATGGGGATGAGATAAGCGGTTCTGGGCTGATGGTCCGCAGGCACCATAGCAACTGCAGCCAGGTACTGCAGCCAGGTACTCCACCCAGGACCGTTAATGCGGATTTTAAGGAAAGGACTTAAGGAGAATGATGGATATGGACTGTAATGGTCAGGACAGTGTGGTCGTTTAACGCCCAGAAGGAAGCAACTAAAGGAAATTGTGTGTTTCATCCCAAAAGCGCTGGCAGAAGTTGGCTGCTCTGGGTTGCACGTGGGTCACACGATCACTTACTTGAGTCTTCGGAGAGTGGAGTTTAACTTCAGAGCATTTGCCAAGGCCTTGGCACCAGCTACCCCGATGTCATTTCCTCGTAAGCTGTAGGGCAAGCAAGAAGCCTAAGGTGCAGGGATAGGCTGAGTGGTGGCGCTGATGTCCCTCCAGATGGGTGGGGGTTGTCTGGACATTCCAGTCACAGGAGTAGGGGGCGGCTTCTGCCTAAGCACTTACGGAAGCCTGTTCTTTTTTCTACTCCAGAGGAGGAGAACCTAGGCTGCGATGGAGAGGTAACTCTCCCTCCATCCAGAGGTCTACGGTACACGGTGGTTACAGGGAGCTGGGGAGCAGGAATGACATGGGCATAGAGCTTGACCCCCACCCCAGGAGGTGCCCACTGTTAAATAGAGCCTTTGGTCGTGTTTGTCTGGGGCAGGCCCAACCCAGAGCATAGTGCCATAGTGACTTCAGGGAGACACGTGAAGTGGGAACGAGGAAGATGGAGCATCTGACCAAAAACAGTCATGAAAATGATCTACGTGTGTCTATGTAAATAGGTATTTGTCTTCATGTTTATTCCTTTTGAATCTGTAGCTTGATTTCTTTAAGCAAAAGTCTGTCAGCAGAAACTGGAATACTCACTCAAGAATCTCCAAGGTTCTGTTCACAGCCAGGGCCTCCCCAAGTGCCTGGGCTCCTTGGGTGCCGATGGAGGCCACCTGTAGGCTTTGAGAGGGAATATAATCAAAGTGGGTAATCGGACGCTGTGCTGCTGGCCTCTCCCTGCTCTGGGCCAGGCTTCCCTCCGTACTCTATACCTCTCAGCTGGGCCTGAAAGTTGAGAAGTAGCACTAAGGATTGTTTTCCTGTGACTCTTCCAAGAACACTGCATCTCCCACCTACACTCTGACACCTACGAGCAAGATCTAGACACAGGAAGGGGAGCAGAGGTGGTCCTCCAGAAGGGCTGGGGTGACTGACATCTGTAACTTCAGTCCTTCCTAGATGTTTGGTTGCCCAGTCACTAGTATTGGAAAAGCCAAACAGCTCTCCTGGACTAATGAGGTCGGCTGTGGCATGAGAGGGTGGTGAAGGGGGCAGGGTGGTCTGCTGGCCTCCCACACCCAGGGCACTTACTAGAGAGCGGTGAGGGCTGTGTTCACCTTCAGGGCCGCAGCCACTGCCGAGGCTCCTTCGTCCCCTATGGCATTCTCCTGTAAGCTGAACACAGTGTGACTGACCCATTGGTCCACAAGAGGCACAAGCCAACACTCTGGCCAAGGCCTGTGGAGTTTAGGCCCTTTACACACACCAGACCTACACCCAGTCACCTTAGATAATTGTCCCTTCTGGGAAGCCATTGTGCCCTTGGCCTCATATTAATGCATAGGGGAATCTGGGAGTCTATGAATCTGAAACAAAGTGCCAAAGGCAGACAAGAAAAGGGGCATGGCATTTACCATCAACAAGGCCTGAGACCAAAAGGTATGCTTTTCAAAACCAGTGGGAAGATTAGCCTGAAGTCCTCGTCTCTGCAAGATTCTTGCTGGCTAGGATTTCTATATATTTTCTCCCACTTCCAGTTGGAGGAAAAAAGCAAGTTCTGGGACAATAAGTGAATTTAGGACAAATGGAAGCATTTGCGTACATTACTCTAGCAAACATCTGTGTGTATCCCATGTTGAGGGTGCCAAGCAGCAGGCACAGCTCTGCCCCGTGCTGGCTAGTTTTTAATCAAGTTGACCCAAGCCAGACTCCTCTGAGACCAGTGAACATCCATTGAGAAAATACCTCCATAAGAATAGCCTATAGGCATCTCTGTGAATTTGAGGCCAGCCTGGTCTATAAGTGAATTCCAAGACAGCCAGGGCTATACAGAGAAACCCTGACTCAAAAAACCAAAATACAAGTAAATACATAAGAATAGCAAGCCTGTAAGCCATTTTATGTTTTGATGATTGAAGTAGGAGGGCCCATTGAATTGTGGGTGGTGTAAACCCTGGGTAGGTAGTCCTGGGGTATATAAGAAAATAAACTGAGCAAGCCAGGAATCAGCATTCCTCAGTGGTCTCTGCTCCAGATCCTGCCTCTAAGTTCCTGCCCTGGCTTCCCTCAGTCATGGACTTACAAGCTGCAAGGTGAAACCAACTCTTTCCTCCCCAATTTGTTTTCAGTCATAGTGTTTTATCACAACAGTAGATGAGTAACTTATTAATGCTCTCTCAGAACTCAGTTAGAAGGCGCTATTAAATGAGCAAATTGATGCATCAGGTCTAAGTTGCAGGGAAGTCCAGTGTCTACCCCAGTGTGGTACCCAGAAGAAATAAACTAAGCCAGAATCAGGCAATGGGAGACTGCTGAGGTCATGGGGTGATGATGACTGAGGCTTGGAAGTGTGAGGGAAGCAGACCTTTGGGGACCTTGGAATCCAGGCTTTGGGGTTACACATGACTCTGCCGGTACAGTCATTTAATGAAGATAGATGGATGTTTTGGGAAGATCTCTGGCCTGCAGTTTGAGGGGATATCCTAGATGTGGATGGAGGTCACCCAGTATGGCAGGTGCTGTGGTCTGGATGGTGGCAGCAGACAGAAACAGGGTGGGATGGACAGTGGAAAAGAAGGTCAGCAGGACATGGAGATGAGCTGGAAGTGGAGGTGGAAGCACAGGGGCCTCTAGCTTGCACAACTGGTTGGGCTAAGGGTCAGATGGAGAACTAAGAAGCAGGTTTGTGGGCAAGAGAATGCAGCAACCTGCAATACCTGTGAGACACCAGGGGCACAAGGCAACATGGGTGTGGATCCATGGGCTGGGGTCCAGACACAGCTGGGTGAGAGGCTCACTTTCTGTGCTGCGTTAAGACACCTTGACCAAGGCAACTTTTAGAAGAAAGGGTTTATTTGGGGCTTACAGTTTCAGAGGGTTAGAGTCCATGACCATCATGGTGGGGAGCATGGCAGCAGGCAGCAGACAGACATGGAACTGGAACAGTAGCTGAGAGCTTACATCTGGATCCACAGGCATAATGCAGGGAGAGCACACAGGGAATGGCCTGGGCTTTTGAAACCTCAAAGCCCACCCCGTGACATACCTCCTCCAACATGGCCACACCTCCTAATCCTTCCCAAAGAATTTCACCAAGAGGTATTCAAATTTATGAATACTGGGGCTGTCCTCATTCAAACCACCCTAGGTAGTGATGTAGGAGTTACCAGGAGTTGGGTTATTATAATCATGAGAGAAAAGAGAGCTCCCAGAGAAGTTCAAGGCAAGAGGCCCGAGGGCAAAACCCTGAGGAGCACCAGTGTCTAGGAGTAAATCAACAGGAAAGAGTGAGAAATGGGAGCTAGTGAAGTGATGAACTGACAGATGGAAAAGAAACCAGAAGGCCGTGCAAAGGGTTCAAAAGTCTAAGCTCCGGCTGGGGAGGCGGCTCAGTGGCTTAAGCGCTTATCTCAAAGCAGAAGGAGCTGAGGAAGCCGCCCACGTAAAGCTGGCTGCAATAGCACATGTCTGTGACTGCAGCTCTCCTACAGGGAGATCGGGAGCAAACACGAGGAACCCCGGAAGCTTACAGCCCGACTGCCTGGCATACGCAGCAGGGTGGGGCCCAACACCTGAGAGTCTGCTGACCTCCATATGTACACTCTGGGATGTGCACACCCACACTCACATGTGCACACCCCCAAAGATTGAAAAAGGAACAAGGTGGGGACTTGTAAGAGCTCAGCAGGAAAAGGTGCTTGCCATCAACCCCAGTGATCTGAGTTTGATCCTTGAAACTCACAGAGTGGAAGGAAGGAGAAGAGAACCAGCTCTCAAAAGTTGTCCTCTGACCTCCACACATATGCCATGACAAGTGCGTACACACACACACACACACACACACACACACACACACACACACACACACACATTTTTTTGGAGGGGGATGGGGTTTCAAGACAGGGTTTCTCTGTGTAGTTTTGGTGCCTGTCCTGGATCTTGCTCTGTAGCCCAGGCTGGCCTCGAACTCACAGAGATCCACCTGGCTCTGACTCCCGAGTGCTGGGATTAAAGGCGTGTGCCACCACTGCCCAGCTCTCACACACTTCTTAAAAAACAAAGTTAGAAAACCAAAGAACAACATGAACAAAATAGTTCAGCCTAGAAAAGAACTGTTCTGCTGGGGGTGTGGCTCTGTGGTAGAGCGTGTGCTTAAGATTCTCGAGGCCCCAGTTCCAACCCCTGGCATATATGTACACATACAAGATACAGATCCTAAAAGACCACATGAATTTATTATGTAAAATGCCCAGAATAATTGGTGTCTTGCAAGGATGGAAGAGGGAATGGGAAGCAGCAATACGTACAGCATCTCTGGGGTTAGGGAACTGTTCTCAGATTGGTTGTGATGGTTGCACAGCTGGATTTTATGGTGGTGGATTATATCAGTAAAGCTATCTCTCTCTCTCTCTCTCTCTCTCTCACACACACACACACACACACACACACACACACACACATACACTACAGGTGAGGACTAAAACAAGTCTGTGGTCTCATGGTAGAAGCTGTTGTTGGTCATCACACCAGCCCTGTGACTGGAGACCGCCCCTCATCCCCATAGGCCACACCAGCCCTGAGCCTGGAGACTGCCCCTCAACCCCATAGGTCACACCAGCCCTGAGCCTGGAGACTGCCCCTCATCCCCATAGGTCACACCAGCCCTGAGCCTGGAGACTGCCCCTCAACCCGATAGGTCACACCAGCCCTGAGCCTGGAGACTGCCCCTCATCCCCATGGATCACACCAGCCCTGAGCCTGGAGACCGCCCCTCGTCCCCATGGATCACACTTACTCTAAGGTTCTCAGGGTCCTGTTCAGCTGAAGTGCTTGTCCCAGGGCCCTGGCTGCACCAGCCTGGATGAAGTTCCACTGCAGGCTGGAAAGACACAGACACATGACTACATGGCCCAAGAACAGAACTGGAGAGACTCTATGACATTGAGGAGGGTTTGGTGGCTGGGTGAGTCTATGCAGGATATGGCATAGGGATTCCTGAAGTTCCCTTCAGGCTCAGTCCCCAGAGGGCCAGTGTTTTACCAGTGGTAGCCATGGGGACAAGCTCAAATATTCTCCATAAAGCATAGGTCACCCCAAGTCACAGCCATGACACTTGCCTCATAATCTAGGTCTTATCTGAGGATAACCTCAGGAATCCAAACCCAGGATGGGGCATACCTGCTGGAGGCAGGTAGCCCGGGAAGGCCTCAGGCATGGCCCAAAGCCAGGTTCCATCTACCACAGTTGGTTTGTGGGTAACCCTGAAGCTGGGGAGAATGGAGGTTGGGGAGGGGTGGGGACAGTACACTTACTGAAGGTGTGTGAGGGAGTGATTTTCTCCTACTGCTACCGCAATGGCCTGGGCACCTTGGTCATGGAGGAGGTTGGCTGTCAGACTGGGAAAAAAAGAACAGAAGCAAGTAGGAGCCACTGTGAACCTCCCCCCCATCCTGGTCACTAGGGGATGTGCTGTGGGATGTTCAGTATGGCAAATGTGTTCTCTGATTGGTTAGTAAATAAAACACTGATTGGCCAGTGGCTAGGCAGGAAGTATAGGCGGGACTAACAGAGGAGAAAAGAAAGAACAGGAAGGCAGAAGGAGTCACTGCCAGCCGCCGCCATGACAAGCAGCATGTGAAGATGCCAGTAAGCCACGAGCCATGTGGCAAGGTATAGATTTATGGAAATGGATTAATTTAAGCTATAAGAACAGTTAGCAAGAAGCCTGCCACGGCCATACAGTTTGTAAGCAATATAAGTCTCTGTGTTTACTTGGTTGGGTCTGAGCGGCTGTGGGACTGGTGGGTGACAAAGATTTGTCCTGACTGTGGGCAAGGCAGGAAAACTCTAGCTACAGATATCAGTCATTCCCCAACCTCCCAAGGGACACACTGTCAGCACTGATGTGGCTCAAGCTGGAGGAGAACTGGCGTACCAAGCACACTAGAGAATATCCTGTGTTAAACTCAGTGGTTACAGGTCATGCGACCAGGACACAGCACTATGAACAGGATTTACTGCCTTTGGGCATGGCCCCATGTGAGCTCTTTAGAGTCCTCTCCCACGTGCTTACCCATCTCCAGGGGTAAGGCTGGAGAGTTCTGGTATCTGGGTTGCCAGTAGATACCAGGTCTCCTGGCTGCCCCTTCCCAAGCCCTGGTCCAGCCTTGTGAATTGTGAAGATCCCAAGGCTCTAACCTATCATAATGGTGCCCACCAACCCTGGTGTCTGAGCAGGTGAGGAAGCACACTCTCCCTTTGACCTCCATCCCTCCAGACCCAATTATTACATACTCCAGGTGCTTCAGAGTGTTGTTCATACAGAGAGCTTGAGCAAGGGCCTGGGCTCCCTCGGGGCTGATGGAGTTTTCTCGTAGGCTGGGGAGAGATGAGACTCTGAACATCCAATCAGACAAGACAGAGCAAGTCCAGATGTTTAGGCTTTCCAAATCCCAAGAAACCACAGACAGGCCCTGGGCCTCCCGGGCCACTGGGCTGAAACGTGAAAGAGCCTGTTCTAGCCAGTCGGGGCTCGAATCAGTGTCCCACTCAGGACTAGCAGCAGGTAGGAAGGCACAGGAGGAAAAGGACAAGGTCTGGGTCACGATGAGCTAGTGGCACCTGAAGGACTTGTGCATGGAAGGGAGCATCCCACTGGGGGCCACAACTGGCCAAGCAGGAAAAGGCTCAGGGTGCTGGGTTCTAGAGCCAAGCCCAAACCAACTACAGATTGTTCTACAGCAGTTTCTCAGTCTCAGCCTTCCTTTCCAGGTCCCAGAGGCCCTGTATTCCCACTGGTCAAAGGGGCAACGTCCTGGTTGCGGGGGTTGGGGACCAGGACTTACCTGAGACTAGACAGGGTCCGGTTAACACAGAGGGCTCGCATCAGCACTGCCACCCCAGCATTACTGACGGCATTGCTCTGTAGGCTGCAGGGCAAGACAAGGCGCTGTTGATGTGGCTATCCGGGGACCTGGAGGGAGCTGTCTGGTCTAGCCTGGAGCCACAGCGATGGGTTCAACAGGGTGTCGGGGACCTGTGAACTGCTCTCCTCATCCCTCTCCTCCCGTCACTCCACTTTCTAGCCTGCCAGGTAAAGACAATGTGGTCTAGCATAATCCCCGAGGCTTAAACTGCCCTGACATGGGGGCTGCATATATCCTCAAGGAAGTGCATTACTCTGCTCCAGAGAAAGTGATGCCGCAAAGCCATCCTAATGTGGCAACAGTATCCAGCCCGCCCCTGCCCTACCTACCAAGGCTTTTCTTCAGCCATGGGGGCCTGCTTATGACAAGACACATAGACCTGTTCTAAAAACTGCAGAGAAGCGGAGATGGTAGGTGGACTAAGGCAAAGGTGGACGGAGGGGCAGACACAGTGTCAGGGCCAGGGCTGGTAAGGCTCTCTCATGGGAATGGGTTCTGGGAGGGTAATTATCATCCATGGAGGGTTCTCAGGCAGACTCACTCCAGGTTCTCCAGGCCCTGGTTCACCTTCAGGGCCTCAGCCAGGGCCATGGCACCTCCATCCCCAATGGTATTACTGGAAAACCTGCAAGAGACAGATGGTGGTGGGCTGGGCCCAGGGGTCAGAGCTCAGGGGAGGCTGCCTCTGTCTCGGGGTGGTCAGTGCAGTTCATTTAGCCTCAGTGTGTTCATCTGTAGTCTCCAAAGGTGACCACATCTTCCTTAACTCTTTGGAAAGAACCAAGAGTCAACTCTCCAAGGTGTTTGTGGGACTTTATATGAAGATGGCCAAGAGATAATGTCTCCTTCTAAGAACAGGGAAACAATAATGTAAACAAGCCCGTGATGTTTGGGGCTCACCCAGTCCTGGGGGTCTGGTTTTCAATTCTCCTTGTCCAGTGTTTTGCACTTCCAAACCAGCTAACCTGCATTCACCCACCCATCAGTTTATCTAAACCTCCTGTGTGTCCCTCTTTCCATCCATCTACTCCTCCATCCATCCATCTGTCCATCCATCTACTCCATCCATCTACTCCTCCATCCATCTACTCCTCCATCCATCTCCTCCTCCATCCATCTACTCCTCCATCCATCTCCTCCTCCATCCATCTCCTCCTCCATCCATCTCCTCCTCCATCCATCTCCTCCTCCATCTACTCCATCCATCTACTCCTCCATCCATCTCCTCCTCTATCCATCTACTCCTCCATCCATCTACTCCTCCATCCATCTACTCCTCCATCCATCTACTCCT